TTTAATCGGCAGAGTAACTGTTAGCAGCGTTGCCCATAATTACCTTGTCATGACCTCTACTATGACCACCCTCACCCTGCTCCACGTTCTTAACATCTAGGAGCATGGGGACGTTGCAATGCTGTGACTGGGGTTGATGTCTTTGGGAGGTGCCCTGCTTGGACTGGGTTCTCCTGGAGACGCTCTCTCTCCGGGGAGGGACTGGCTCCTCACCTAGCCAATGACCCCTCTGGTGCCTGATGTAATCACTAGGGTCTGAAAGCTGCTGGCCAGGGGAGATTGGGGACACGGCAGCTACTTCCCGTTGGCTGTCCACTCTGTCGATGGCCAGCAGCCAGGCATTACCTGGGTCTGACCTGCTTCTGGTGTGACTGATATCTCTGCCCCTTATGTCACTCTGTGGGAGGGGAGGATTTAGGTTCTCATAAGGAGACATGATAGGGCCCTGGGGCCTCTGCCTGGCTCTATTTTCTTGCCTGATTGGCTGATAGACTAGTCTGTCACAACCCTCTGGGTGGTCCCAGGACTTGTAAATGACTCGCTCTGGATCTCTGCTCTCTAAGAAGAGTTGTCTTTTTGGAGGTGGGATGTTGTGTGAGGGATGGTAGTGGTAGCCAGGATGTCCACAATCCCTGGTAGAGCGCATGGTGTATGACTGACTGTGTCGGATGCGGCTCGTCCTGTAAGGGTCCACATAGTAGTAAGACTCCTCTAGAGGCGCTGCGTCTGAATAGGGGCTGTAGCGGTATTGAACACGGCCATTCTCAAAGTACGGCTGCATGGGTTGGACATCTGACTGGACTAGTCTCTGGTACTCCTTTTCCTGGACAGCTGGACGTTGGACGTAGAACAGGGTGTCTGCCAGTTGAATACGAATAGGTTGCTGGGCATGGAAGGAGTGTGCCCTGCGGATGACGGGGCACCCCTGGGCTCTATCCTCAGTCCTCTGCCATTGTCCCTTGGATCTGTGGTGGCCACTGGAGCTGTGCTCCTCCCTGGGTTGGGGTTGGGGTTGACCTCTGTACTGGGAGGATGAAGAGGGGTAGTTCAGGAGGCCTAAAGTACTGTAGTGGCTGTTAGACGTGGGTTTGTACATGCTGTTGGGCCCTGCCTGGTGGGTAGGGAGACAGTCAGGCTGAGGATGAGGATGTCCAGATACCCGTCCTGCTGGATTGACCCGATGATGTCTGTATACGTCTTCAGCCTCCCTCATAGCTCTCTCTTCATCAGAGCTGTACTGGTGGACTAAGGACGGCAGAGGAGGACGTGGAGGGATCTCATCCACAGACCCTGGCATGGACGCCTCAGCAAGAACAGCCCGATAGTTATAGGCATTGACTGAGTCAGTGTTAGCGAGGACAGCAGCAGCTAACTGGCTCTGAATGGAGCAGACTGATTGAATGGGAGGGGAGGCCCCACCACTGCCATACAAGGAGGACACAGTCTGAAGATGAACAGTCCTTACAGCTCCCAGGGGTCGGTCTCTCCCTTCCCTCTGGTCCCTCACCTCTGTGCTGCCCTGCAGTAGAGCTCTAGCCTCTAAGGGACTGATAGTGGGAGTGAAGTTACTCATGGCCACTTGTCCCTCAGGGGCCTGTTTTCTCTCATAGCCAGGGAAACGGTCACACGGACTCTCAACTGGTGTGCCAGCCAAGGGTAAGAGGGGGGCTGGAGAAGAGACCTTGAGGTCACCGTAATCCTGAGAGCAGGGTTGGAGGTGGAGAACAGAGGGCCGTGGGGGTCTGTCTAGGGGGTGGGGGGTGTCCTGTCTCTGGAGAGGGTAGGGGGGCTGGGTGCTCCTCCTCTGAGAGGTCAGGGGGTGGGGGGTGTCCTGTCTCTGGAGAGGGTAGGGGGGCTGGGTGCTCCTCCTCTGAGAGGTTAGGGTGGCCTTCTGGGCAGACTCAGCCAGGGCCAGGGCCAGCCTGCGGGCAGCACTCGTCAACGGAGGGTGAGGAGGGAGGACTGACACGGAATTCACAAGCCTATCTGTTCCTGGGGAGGCATAAGACAAACAATGCTGCTACAGTATGACAGGACAAACAATGCTGTGATCAGACATGAGGGGACAACACATAGAATAATACCATAAGAACTTAAGCTAATAAGGAAACACATTAAGAACTGTACATATCCATGTTAAACATTGCTGCACATTAATGATAAACTGTCGATATAAAATGAACTAAAATTGAATTTGTTTTTAATGTGCCACTGACCTGCATCCGGAGGGTTTTGTGAAGCCAGGCTGTCTGTGACAGTTGAGGCAAAACTTGGTGGGCTGGGGGGCCGGCAGGGTGCCTCACACAGATCCAGAGGTGGAGGGGACGAGGACTCACCACCCTGGGTGTCCGAAACACAGCGTGGGGCAGAGGCACACACAGTGTGCACATCTGCTTCAACCACAGGGGGGGACTTAGAGGACTTCCGTCTGAGTTTGGGGGAGACGACCCGAGACACTTTCTTTTTCTCCCCTCCTTTCCTATGGACTGGGCTGATGTCAGGGGACTGGGAGTTACTGACGACTTTATAGAGGGATGAGGAGATGGGCTCTGATTCACTGGAACCCCCGACATTCTTCCTACAGTTGACGCTTGCTTTGCGTTGAGGAGCGGATTTAGCTGTTGGTGGGCTCACTGGGCTGCACTGGAAAGACATGGGGTCAAAGTCCAGAAAGGCCATGCCAGGGGCTGGAAGACAGAGGTCAAGGTCGTCCTCCTGATGTGGAGGGGACACGCCAGCTGGGTCATAGGCTGGACCATCAGCACCACTATGGACCTTCTTGGCCTGGTTGTTGTAGAGGTCAACTTTGATCCAGGCATCACACAGGTCATCCCTGAATGTGGTGGAGCGTGGTCTAGGAGGGTGGTACATCTGGGGCTCCCCTAGGACAGACAGATAGATAGTATACATTAACGTTCAGAGGCAGACTTCAACATTAGACAACATAAAAATAAAGGTAACAAACAAATTATCTGTCTAAATTTGTTTATCACCTATTATGAAACACAGGTACTGACAGGATTGAAAGTGTGACTGGGGGCATATTTACCTTCCACATTGTGCAAAGAGGTGAGAGATTCTTCACTTTTGGTGGAGCGCAGTGTCCCACTATCCCCTCTTCCACCTGAATAATATGGAAGTACAAACTGAAGGTGAAAATAGACTTCTTAACAAAAAAACATGACTTCATCACATCACCCAAGTGGAATAAACACCCATACATTTAACCACAGAGACATGACTGGGAGGTATTTTATAACATGGCTCTGAAGAGGGTCCTTGTGGTTGTGTACAGTACTGGATGGTGACAATGTAGTGCTGGTTGAGGCCTGACCTGGCAGTGCAATGCTTTTAATCTCATTGGGTTCGCTGGGGTGACGCTTCAGCTTGCGTTTGGAGGTCATGGAGGAGGACTTGCCCAGGTGGAAGAATGAACGCCAGCTTCCCACTGGGGACTTCTTCACCTTCCCAGGAGCCCTCTTACTATAACACAACATCCCCCATGACTACAGTGGACCATACAGGGTGGTCAGAGACATATACAGTGCCTTGCAAAAGTATTCATCCCCCTTGGGGTTTTTCCTATTTTGTTGCATTACATCCTGTAATTTAAATTGATTTTTATTTGGATTTCATGTAATAGACATGCACAAAATAGTGGAATGAAAAAAAAAAACTTGTTTCAAAGTCGGAAATTTACATACACTTAGGTTAGAGTCATTAAAACATGTTGTTTTCAACCACTCCACAAATTTCTTGTTAACAAACTATAGTTTTGGCAAGTCGGTTAGGACATCTACTTTGTGCATGACACAAGTAATTTTTCCAACAATTGTTTACAGACAATTCCAGTGGGTCAGAAGTTGACATACACTAAGTTGACTGTGCCTTTAAACAGCTTGGACAATTCCAGAAAATGATGTCATGGCTTTAGAAGCTTCTGATAGGTGAATTGACATAATCTGAATCAAATGGAGGTGTACCTGTGGATGTATTTCAAGGCCTACCTTCAAACTCTTTGCTTGACATCATGGGAAAATCAAAAGAAATCAGCCAAAACCTCAGAAAAAAATATTGTAGACCTCCACAAGTCTGGTTCATCCTTGGGAGCAATTTCCAAATGCCTGAAGGTTCCATGTTCATCTGTACAAACAATAGTACGCAAGTATAAACACCATGGGACCACGCAGCCGTCATCCCGCTCAGGAAGGAGACACATTCTGTCTCCTAGAGATGAACGTACTTTGGTGCGAAAAGTGCAAATCAATCCCAGAACAACAGCAAAGGACCTTGTGAAGATGCTGGAGGAAACAGGTACAAAAGTATCTATATCCACAGTAAAACCAGTCCTATATCAACATAACCTGAAAGGCCGCTCAGCAAGGAAGAAGCCACTGCTCCAAAACCGCCATAAAAAGCCAGACTACGGTTTGCAACTGCACATGGGGACAAAGATCGTACTTTTTGGAGAAATGTCCTCTGGTCTGATGAAACAAAAATAGAACTGTTTGGCCATAATGACCATCGTTATGTTTGGAGGAAAAAGGGGGTCGCTTGCAAGCCGAAGAACACCATCCCAACCGTGAAGCACAGGGGTGGCAGCATCATGCTGTGGGGGTGCTTTGCTGCAGGAGGGACTGGTGCACTTCACAAAATAGATGGCATCATGAGGAAGGAAAATTATGTGGATATATTGAAGCAACATCTCAAGACATCAGTCAGGAAGTTAAAGCTTGGTCGCAAATGGGTCTTCCAAATGGACAATGACCCCAAGCATTCTTCCAAAGTTGTGGCAAAATGGCTTAAGGACAACAAAGTCAAGGTATGGAGTGGCCATCATAAAGACCTGACCTCAATCCTATAGAAAATGTGTGGGCAGAACTGAAAAAGCGTGTGCGAGCAAGGAGGCCTACAAACCTGACTCAGTTACACCAGCTCTGTCAGGAGGAATGGGCCAAAATTCACCCAATTTATTGTGGGAAGCTTGTGGAAGGCTACCCGAAACGTTTGACCCAAGTTAAACAATTTAAAGGCAATGCAACCAAATACTAATTGAGTGTATGTAAACTTCTGACCCACTGGGAATGTGATGAAATAAATAAAAGCTGAAATATATCATTCTCTCTACTATTATTCTGACATTTCACATTCTTAAAATAAAGTGGTGATCCTAACTGACCTAAGACAGGGATTTTTACTAGGACTAAATGTCAGGAATTGTGAAAAACTGAGTTTAAATGTATTTGGCTAAGGTGTATGTAAACTTCAACTGTATGTATTCACCCCCTTTGCTATGAAGCCCCTCAATAAGATCTGGTGCAACCAATTACCTTCAGAAGTCACATAATTAGTTAAATAAAGTCCATCTGTGTGCAATCTAAATGTCACATGATCTGTCACATGATCTCAGTATATATACACACACACCTCTGTTTTGAAAGGCCCCAGAGTCTGCAACACCAAGCAAGCAAGGGGCACCACCAAGCAAGCGGCACCATGAAGACCAAGGAGCTCTCCAAACAGGTCAGGGACAAAGTTGTGGAGAAGTACAGATTCAGGGTTCGTTATAAAGAAAATATCAGAAACTTTGAACATCCCACGGAGCACCATTAAATCCATTATTAAAAAATGGAAAGAAAGTGGCACCACAACAACCTGCTAAGAGAAGGCCGCCCACCAAAATTTAAAAACCAGGCAAGGAGGGCATTAATCAGAGCGGCAACAAAGACACCAAAGATAACCCTGAAGGAGCTGCAAAGCTCCACAGCAGAGATTGGAGTATCTGTCCATAGGACCACTTTAAGCCATACACTCCACAGAGCTGGGCTTTACGGAAGAGTGGCCAGAAAAAAGCCATTGCTTAAAGAAAAAAATAAGCAAACACGTTTGGTGTTCACCAAAAGGCATGTGGGAGACTCCCCAAACATATGGAAGAAGGTACTCTGGTCAGATGAGACTTAAATTGAGCTTTTTGGCCATCAAGGAAAACGCTATGTCTGGCGCAAACCCAACACCTCTCATCACCCTGAGAACACCATCCCTACAGTGAAGCATGGTGGTGGCAGCATCATCGGCAGCACCATGCTGTGGGATGTTTTTAATCGGCAGGGACTGGGAAACTGGTCAGAATTGAAGGAATGATGGATGGCGCTAAATACAGGGAAATTCTTGAGGGAAACCTGTTTCATTCTTCCAGAGATTTGAGACTGGGACAGAGGTTCACCTTCCAGCAGGACAATGACCCTAAGCATACTAATAAAGCAACACTCAAGTGGTTTAAGGGGAAACATTTAAATGTCTTGGAATGGCCTAGTCAAAGCCCAGACCTCAATCCAATTGAGAATCTGTGGTATGACTTAAAGATTGCTGTACACCAGCGGAACCCATCCAACTTGGAGCTGGAGCAGTTTTGCCTTGAAGAATGGGCAAAAATCCCAGTGGCTAGATGTGCCAAGCTTATAGAGACATACCCCAAGAGACTTGCAGCTGTAATTGCTGCAAAAGGTGGCTCTACAAAGTATTGACTTTGGGGAGGGGGGGTGAATAGTTATGCACGGCCAAGTTCTGTTTTTTTGTCTTATTTTTCTTGTTTGTTTCACAATAACAAATATTTTGCATCTTCCAAGTGGTAGGCATGTTGTGTAAATCAAATGATACAAACTCCCCCAAAATCCATTTTAATTCCAGGTTGTAAGGCAACAAAATAGGAAAAATGCCAAGGGGGGGTGAATACTTTCGCAAGCCACTGCATGGTTTATAAAACTACAATGTACTGTAGGCTACTAGTTTCTAGAAGCACCAACAACCTACCTCTCAGTGGGGAGCTCGATGACTGTGTGGAACTTGCCCATCAGTGCCCCGGGTCCCTCCCCCACCTCGATGTACTCGCTGTGGGACAGAACGGGGGTAGTAACAGGGGAGCCCAGCTGGGCCTGGGTACGGGCCTGGGCCTCCTCCAGAGATAGGAGCTTAGTGGAGGGAGAGCACACCAGCAGAGACTTGGGTCTGGATAGGGTACTGGTACCTGGGAGCAGAGAGAGAAATGTTTTTGAAGTTCCCATAACGTTCCCATAACGAGTGCCAAAGCCAGGGTAATGCTGTACCTGTGCTCTCCTGGATGAGGGCGTTGACTTTGGGGCTGAAGAGTGCCTCTGTGTTGTTCAGAATGAACTCCACCACCACTGACTGCACCACTGACTGGATACGCACCTCCATAAAGGCTGCGGTTCCACTATAACAGGCCGACTCAATCTGTTTGGACCTGAAACACAGTTATGTCCTAATCAACTGCATGGCCAGTCATAGCCAGTTACAAAACAGTGTATATTTAAGCAATATGGCACGAGGGGGTTTGGTATATGGCCAATATACCACGACTAAGGGTTGTTCTTAACCATGACGCAACGCGGAGTGCCTGGATACAGCCCTTAGCAGTGATATATTGGTAATATACCACAAACCCCAGAGGTGCCTTATTGCTATTATAAATTGGTTACCAACGTGATTAGAGCTGTTAAAATAAATGTTTTGTCATACCCGTGGTATATGGTCTGATATACCACGGCTTTCAGATAAAATCAGCATTCAGGGCTTGAACCACCCAGTTTATAATCGCAGTTAATACTAATGACAGTGTTGGTGGTTGGAACGTTACAGTATACCTGAGCAGGTTGGGAGCCCAGACGATGGCCAGGTTCTTGGTGTGCATGTTGGTAATAGGGCTGAAGGTGGCCAGTTGGGACAAATGTCTCATGAGGAATTCCAGAGTCCTGCAGCGCAGACCAGAGAGTATTACAGATCAGGTAGAACACAGACATGTGGAATACACCCTTCTTTACTGTCAGCTTACAATGCCAAGACTGTGACTGTTCAATGCTCTCTGTTAGCCAACAGATGGCGCTTTAGCACCTACAGTTCAGTGGTGACTTTATACACCGTTGTAGTGAATACAGAAGATGCAGAATTGCAGGAGCCACTAGGATGTGCTGTGAACTCATCTCCCACTGACCTGTAGTGAGGAGGAGGAAGCTGCTGGATGACGTTGTGGATCTTCACCAGCCTCTCCTCATCAGTAGCTGCAGACACAGCCTCCTGTGGAGGGAGGGAGGGAACACCAGAGCCTGATAACTAGGCCAGCAGGAGCTTTCAGTCCTTTACTGTCCCCCCCTTTACGGTTATCTTCAATACACCCCGCTGTGCTACGAGGATGTTTCTGATTAAGAATTCTAAGTTCATTTCAGTGATAAGACCTTTCTATTTCACATATTTTGAATGGGAAATACAAGCGTATGTTAGTACAGTATCTCCCTTGGTTTATTCCAAGATGACTATATTATTAAGAATATCTCCATCTACTCATGTTTTCCCCAATCAGCCTCCACCTTTCCCCTCAGTCCCAGTTCAGTGTTCTGCTCCTTACTGAGAATCTCTCATAGAGCTGGTAGGTGAGCAGAGGGTTGGGCAGCTCTCTGAAGTACAGTTTACAGAGGGACCCTACGGAATGGATATCCTGATTGAAGACATCTCTACTGAGGTCTGGGATCTGCTCCGAGTCAAACTCATGTCTGGGGAAACAGAGGAGAGAAGACACTGGTTAACACTCAACATCAGACCATCACGTACAGTTAACACGGTTTAAGTCCATAAGCAGTACTGCCATGATGATTGAATTTCTTCATTTTTTTCCAGGATGTTGTACATTATTTGATGCTAATAAGTGAAGCAGGGACTTACCTCAGTTTCTGGATGTTGGAGGAGATCCCAGAGAGTCTGTACATCCCATCCACGACACCATGTCTGTCAATGAACTCAGTACAGCATTTGATCACCTGGGGGACTGGAGAAAGGAGAGGATAAATGGCTGTCAACACAGAGTAACATCAAAGAGATTTTCACAACAAAGACTGAGAAGTCTACCTTTCTCTATACAGTGCTAACTACAGAGATAAGGCTGCTGGGAGACTGACCATCATGTCCTGAGTTGAGGAGGTGTTCCCCCAGGTCACAGCCAAACACCCTCTCCCTGAGGATCCCACGCTGCCTCAGCTTCTGAGGGGGTGGACGGGACTTCATGAAGCTCCTCAGGAACATCACCAGCTTCCCATGCTTCTTACACACTGATGGACACACACACACACTGAATGAATATACTTTTGTTTTGGGGTTGTAAATAAAACATACAATAGATGTGCATTTGAATCCCAGTGGATAACACATGAAAGTATGAGTAAAAAAACACGAAGAGTCAACCCATACAACGCTGTTACACACACGCATGCCAGACTCATCTCATTCTTTCAGACACACTTTACAGTTTTTTTCCAACTGCTTACACACAAAATCTTTTCATGTCACACGATTTTTGAAACCTCTCACTCAAAGTGCAAAACTACACACCAAATCTCCAAAACCATAAGCTATTTCTCAGCCTTTGACTCAGTTGTCAATTGCATAAAACACTTTTTTCAAAACACTACACACAATTCTCTACCTAAAACACAAAAATCTAACAGGAAGTGACTTGCTTTCCTTTTCCAAACAACCAATCAAAATGCTACACTTATTCACCAGGTCACACACACACTCCTCACATGTGCAAACACTAATTGCTTAACTGATCACTAACCAATCACTGCTTTACTGTAGTATAGGCCTATAAATAGGTCAAAGGTCAGATGACCTGTTTTGAACAATGGATGCCAACAAGACAACAGAGAGCAAGAGGAGTAGGAGGGAGAGGCAGGGGACAACAACGAGGACAAATTCAAATACGAAGAGTTGGAAGAGGAGGAGTAGGAGGAAGAGGAAGAAGAGGATGAGGGCAAAGAAGAGAAGGAAGGAGAGCCATCTCTGATGAGATTAGGGCAACACTTGTTGATCATGCGTCACTACAGACACTACAGGCTTCAACCTCACCAAAACCAGGCGCCGCGGAAGAAATGTAATCGGACAGAGGGCAATTACCAATGTCCCTGGACAGCGCAGGGGTAATATAACTGTGTGTGCTGCCATCACTCAAAACGGGGTCCTCCATCACAATGCCACACTTGGTCCGTACAACACCAGCCATATGCTCACTTTTCTGGATGCAATTTACACAATGCTTGTCTCTGATCCAGATCAGGAGCCTGCTAGATTTGTGGTCATATGGGACAATGTTAGTTTTCACCGGGATGTTCTGTTCCAAAACTGGTTTGCCATCCATCCACAATTTGTAGTTTTGTACCTACCCCCATATTTACCTTTTCTAAATCCCATAGAGGAAGTCTTCTCAGCCTGGCGCTGGAAAGTGTATGATCGCCAACCCTATGCCCGCATGCCGCTTCTCCAGGCAATGGAGGACGCATGTGGGGACATAGAGGTTGCCTCTGTCCAAGGTTGGATACGCCATGCTAGGAGATACTTCCCTCGATGTTTGGCAAGAGAAAACGTATCTTGTGATGTGGACGAAGTATTGTGGCCAGACCCAGCCCAGAGAAGAGATGAAGCGTAGCTTAGCACTGGTGACTGCCCCCCCCCCCCAATTCCTGGACTGCCCCCCCGGGACCCCACACACACACACAATTGTGTTATTTAGTGTATTCTAAATTATATACTTTTGGTTTACATATGTTTATGGTTTTGTTGTATGCTACTGTATACAACAGTAATGTTTGGCCTAATAAATATTTTCTGTTTCTACATCGCATTGGTGTTTACAGTGTACTTGTTACCCCTCTCAGCAGATTACTTTCACTGTAGAACATTGGTCTTTCATAGGCTTATCTACATTTCAATACAAAGTGCTTTAGAGTTAGAACAACAGTGTTTACATGGTATATCCAAAAATTTACTATTATGAAAGAAGTGTTTGCCATTTGATGCAAATGCTTCACTCTGACATGTGTTTATGGCATTTTGAATGCAGTGTTACATTTTGAAGGAGATGTGAGGCATTTTGCATTTTGTGTGTGCAGTTTTGGGAATTGTGTGTAGCGTTTTGAAAAAAGGAGACAGTTTTGAAAACGTGTGTATGCAGTTGGAAAAAACTGTAAGAGGCACCTCCAGTCAGTTATATATTAATCACAGAGAAGAGGGAGGACAGAGTATTGTTGCTGTAAAACCGCCCACAGTACCTGGTTTTGGCACAGAGCTGGACACACAGGGGGGAATCCTGTCACTGATCAGCTCCACACAGTCACAGGGGAAGAAGCCAACCTGCACAGAGAGAAACAGAAGTAGGAATAGTAACAATCTCCTGCGCTCTATCATGCACCAGATATTGATCTAAGGAAGAGTAAGTGGTAGTAAGCTCCATGTACAGTAGGGAGTGGGATGGAGAAAATTGATCACTAGTATGAAGGGACAGACAGAGCTGTTTGAGTCACAGACTTGTTTGAAGGGTTTTACCTGAAAACCATGTTTCCCTCTCCACCAGCCAGTGTCCTCTTTAGGAGGCATGTCAATGACTGACACAATGTCCCCTACCTAGAAAAGGGTCAGCACAGAAAAGTCAAATGAGAGAATATAGCAGTTTGAGTGGGTTTAAAAACATCAACATCCACGGCAGAATGTGTACAAATCACCTAGTGAATGTATCCCCATATCTCCACACTGTTCCCTAAACCCCTCCCCTTTCCTGTCCAATCACAAGATGCACAGAGGGGTCACCTCAAAGGTCAGCTCGTCTGTGGCCTGGGCAATGTAGCGTTTGATGACGTGGGCCGCGGCGATGGCAGGAACATTGATGGAGGACTCCTCAGCTACCAGAATGTGGTTACCCTTGTTATCAATCTGAGAGACAAAACACAGGTTGACAGAGTCTACAAAATACTCAACATCATGGAGTTTAGCATTGATATCAGATCTATTACTAAAATGGAAAATTGAATTCTGCATGAAGTCTAATTTAATAAACAAGTTGTCCTGTTTATCTGAGGAGTGTGTAAGAGAAACATGAGTAGCTCACCTCAATCCATGTCAACACTGGACCACAGTTGATCTTGTTGTCAGCGATGGCTGTGAGACGGGACAGGTAGGCTGCCAACATCTCGGTTATTTCCTAAGGAGAATAGAACCAGCAGGAATGAGTTAGGTTGAATACAAAGCCAGGGGAGATAATGTAATGTAACTATGACTGTGGAGGTGTCCCTAATGGCACCCTATTCCCTAAGTAGTCCACTAGTTTAGGCCAGTTTCCTGTGCACTGGTCAAAAGTAGTGCACTACTTAGGGAATGGGGTGTCATTTGGGATACAACTGGTCTCATTCACAGCAGATAGTTAAATATTCCCAGTGGTAAGATTTAGTTAGTCCTGTTGACTGACTCCTACCTCTACTGTGTCCTTCAGCGAGTCAAAGCGGGGCAACTCAGTGAGTTTGGAGAAGCGTCTGTCATAGATACAAAGGTGGAGGTGTTTGTCCAGCACACGGAAGTCTTCATAGGATCGCTTCACCAGCCAGCTCCGACTCTGAGACACAAACACAGAGACAAGAGTGAGCCTGAAATGAGACCAGACTGAGAAAAACAGAGAAGCTATCTAGGATAAAGATACTGTACAAAGGCGCAAAATGTATTATCCAAGTCCAAAGCTAGCACACCTTATTCAACTAATCATCAAGCCCTTGACTACATGAATCAGGTGTGCTAGTTCAGGGCTACAACAAAATTGTGAAACGTCTGGGGGTCTACGAGGAGAGGGTTGAGAATCACTGGATTATCCTACCCCCTTAGAAATTAATATCATGCTTCAGTTAAATGTTCCAGATTTTTCTATGGGTCAGAAACTAGAGCCTAGCCCTCAAGCTCCATTATACCTGGCAGCAGATCTGAACCAGGAAGAGTGGCTCCTTGGAGTCCAGACCAGCCTTCTGCCCCTCAGTCTGCTCCTCTGCAAAGGACAGCTGCAGGGGAATGGGTACAGAGAGATTAAAATAGTGAGTGACACCACACTCTAAATAATGTAGTTTAACACAGCAACCACTTTCTGTTTCAGAACTACCGTGAAAGTAGAACATACACCAAATTCATGTTCGGTCACTTAGCCAACTCTCCAAACTCTATCAATAATGGACAGTAGCCCCAACTGGGTAACATCATATCTGGTTAGAAATGGGTTAGTTTTTTTTAACCAGAAACATCTAGATAATACATAATAAATACGACCATGTTTTTCAAAAAAAAAAAGAACATAGGTCCCTTTAGAAAAATGGGTTGTTGGAGGTCCTTTGGTCTTGAGTTGCTGACTTCATGCACAATAAGGAAATAACTCGTGAGGTTAAGAAAGTGTGAATGTGCATTTTCAACACTGTGACACTGAGCCCTTGACATGTTTTTCAACCCAAAATAAAAATGCAGTATATGAATTATACATAAGCAATTGATAACCCCTTCAGCATTTGAGAGGCTATGGAAATGTACCAAAAATCATTGTCCAATTCCCTCCATCCCTCCCATATAACTCCATAACATCCTACAGTGCCTTGCAAAAGTATTCATCCCCCTTGGCGTTTTTCCTATTTTGTTGCATTACAACCTGTAATTTAAATTGATTTTTATTTGGATTTCATGTAATGGACATACACAAAATAGTCCAAATTGATGAAGTGAAATGAAAAAAATAACTTGTTTAAAAAAATTCTAAAAAATAAATAACGGAAAAGTGGTGTGTGCATATGTATTCACCCCCTTTGCTATGAAGCCCCTAAATAAGATCTGGTGCAACTAATTACCTTCAGAAGTCACATAATTAGTTAAATAAAGTCCACCTGTGTGCAATCTAAGTGTCACATGATCAGTATATACACACACACCCCTGTTCTGAAAGGCCCCAGAGTCTGCAACACCACTAAGCAAGGGGCACCATGAAGACCAAGAAGCTCTCCAAACAGGTCAGGGACAAGGTTGTGGAGAAGTACAGATCAGGGTTCGGTTATAAAAAAAATACCGAAACTTTGAACATCCCACGGAGCACCATTAAATCCATTATTAAAAAATTTAAAGAATATGGCACCACAACAAACCTGCCAAGAGAGGGCCTCCCACCAAAATTCAAAAACCAGGCAAGGAGGGCATTAATCAGAGAGGCAACAAAGACACCAAATATAACCCTGAAGGAGCTGCAAAGCTCCACAGCGGAGATTGGAGTATCTGTCCATAGGACCACTTTCAGCCGTACACTCCACAGAGCTGGGCTTTACAGAAGAGTGGGCAGAAAAAAAATAAGCAAACACATTTGGTGTTCGCCAAAAGGCATGTGGGAGACTCCCCAAACATATGGAAGAAGGTACTCTGGTCAGATGAGACTAAGATTTAGCTTTTTGGCCATCAAGGAAAACGCTATGTCTGGAGCAAACCCAACACCTCTCATCACCCTGAGAACACCATCCCCACAGTGAAGCATGGTGGTGGCAACATCATGCTGTGGGGATGTTTTTAATCGGCAGGGACTGGGAAACTGGTCAGAATTGAAGGAATGATGGATGGCGCTAAATACAGGGAAATTCTTGAGGGAAACCTGTTTCAGTCTTCCAGAGATTTGAGACTGGGACGGAGGTTCACCTTCCAGCAGGACAATGACCCTAAGCATACTAATAAAGCAACACTCGAGTGGTTTAAGGGGAAACATTTAAATGTCTTGGAATGGCCTAGTCAAAGCCCAGACCTCAATCCAATTGAGAATCTGTGGTATGACTTAAAGATTGCTGTACACCAGCGGAACACATCCAACTTGATGGAGCTGGAGCAGTTTTGCCTTGAAGAATGGGCAAAAAACCCAGTGGATAGATGTGCCAAGCTTATAGAGACATATCCCAAGAGACTTGCAGCTGTAATTGCTGCAAAAGGTGGCTCTACAAAGTATTGACTTTGGGGGGGTGAATAGTTATGCACGCTCCAGTTTTCAGTTTTTTTGTCTTATTTCTTGTTTGTTTCACAATAACAAATATTTTGCATCTTCAAAGTGGTAGGCATGTTGTGTAAATCAAATGATACAACCCCCCCCAAAAAAATCCATTTTAATTCCAGGTTGTAAGGCAACAAAATAGGAAAAATGCCAAGGGGGGTGAATACTTTCGCAAGCCACTGTATACCAAGAGGAGATCAAAGCCTCAGGAATAGTTAGGGGAATAAATTGATATCAAATACAGGCAAAACTTCAAAGGCCTGCGAGGCAGGGTAGTAATAGTTAAGGTATTACAAAGCTAACATATGAAATAGAATGTAAATAGTCAATAATATTTGGAGGACGTAAACTATTAATACAGTCTGGAAGAATAATCATGAGTCAATGAGTGAATTAAACAATAACTATGGTCATGTGGATGGAAAGATTGACGGTTAGCATGATAAGACAAACATGAATCAATGATGATTAACAATATGTCAAGAGGATGTCTGGACAGAGAAACACACGTCACATGGAGCGGAGTCATTTAACATTGAAAACGAAACTGAGTAAATTTAGTGCATGTCTTACTTATGTTTTGTATAAGCTCTTTCTATCCCCCAACGCATTTTAGCCAAGCAACTAAAACTGACAACCTCACACAGTGCAGCACAAATCCCTAAATCGAAACATGCATGCAGCCATTAACTATTAATATACACATCTGGACCCAGAAACAGAAATTAAGTCACAAGCGCATACTGGTACCTGCCAGTGCAGGCTCTTTACTGCTCCTCAGCTATTAAGTCAGGTTACAACACAGCTGGATGTCTCCCGGACAGTGTTCAACTGCAGTCCTGTGTCTCCAGATAGAAGTCACTTAGCTTCCTACCACTGGCTGATGGATTTAGGACAGAGGAAAGCGTGGAGTTGCCACTGGATTGAGCAGAGTTAAACAGATACTGGTTGCTTTCATCTGTCCCCGAGCTTAAATCCCCTTCAGCCTGTCCTTCGCCACAAGGTGGATCCACAACATGTTTTCACTGTTCAATTACACCACAAGAGCAGAGACTAGAAATAGGGGAAGGATCCCACTGTTTCTCTCTCCCTCCCAACCCTTCCTCTCCTCAATCTCCCTCCCGCCCGCTCCCCATTTCCATCTCCCTCCCACTCTCCTTCCTTCCCTCCCTCCCTCTACCTTCCCTCATCCTCTTGTGACAAAGGAGCTCTACAGTATATAGGCTAAAACAGAGCAGTTAGCACACACCCATACGTAAGCCTGACACAGAGACAGAGGTGCAGGAGGACACAGACCACCCAGGCATCTCCATTTCAAAATGGTGCTTCTGTAGAGAATGGAAGTAATCTTGGGCAGAATCAGCCCAGTACGCTGTATGTGTTTCAGAGGCTGATGGCTGCTGTCCTCATGTTGCCATTGTGTCGGAGACCTGATCTGTCATATCCCTGCTGGTCCTGTGTGTGAGTTCTAGAACAAGCATATGAGTCATGAGACCCACCACAGGGACAATGTTATGACACTCCCACTAATATGTCAGCCCACTTCCTCTCAGGGTGAAGTCAGCGCATAAATTGTATCATGACAGCTGTTAAAAGGTCCATTGCAGCTGTTTTTCTCTCAATATCAAATCATTTCTGGGTAACAATTAAGCAGTGTTGTAGTACTCGAGTCCAGGACTTGTGACTCGACCATTGGTGACTCTGACTCGCCTTCCCGTGACTTGTATTTGCACTTTGACTGGATAGGCTACTACACTTTACGATATTGAAAACAATGGTATTGAGTTTAAAAGTAAAACAGTATAGCTATCGTCTCTCTCTCCCCTTCAGTATTGAAAACAGGCAGTCTTTGAATGTCATCTCGCTCTACCCTCCCACTTTCTCCCTTTAGTTTTCACTCTGGAATAAAACAAGCTACACAAATATCAGTGGGCGATTACAAAAAAAGTAGCAAATAATAATCTGGTCAATCTGACAGGAGCAATAGCCAATTCCATCTAGAGACCATTCATCCCTTCAAAACATTGAACATTATATTAAAACAAAATATGTGTGAGACTGTAAATATTTGTGTTACTTCAATGCTCACATTAAAATCTTCCCACCAGCCACCCACTAGTTGTTGCTAGGCAGATTTCTTCTACTAAATCCGAGCCAAATCAATACAGCCGCGAATCTAGCAACAAACGAGCATCGAGCCAGCAATAAAAGCGAGCAAAAAAAAAAAAAGCAGTAACCAAAATACCAAATATGTCTAAAGAACCCTGAATCAATCGTTTGAAAGCAAAGAGCAATTTCTCAAGCAAGAATTTTGCTAGGACTGTCTGGGAGTGGTCTGAAAGGGAGGGGAAAACTGAAATTGTTATTGGTCTATTAACTCATTTACTGCATGGTAAACCCCCATCCCACCAAAACAGGCAAATATTTCAGGCACTTTTCAAACAGCGCTTACACTAAAAGGGCGTTCTAATAATTTTTTAGAAATTTACAGTATTATTCCAACCTCAGAGTGTGGAAATATATATAAAACACCGGAAGAAAATCACACTTTTGACTGCACTGGGCCTTTAAGAAAACAGTTAAGTGTGTTTTGTACAGTGTTAAGTTGTATGTACAGTGCATTCAGAAAGTATTCAGACCCCTTGACTTTTTCCACATTGTTACGTTAGCCTTATTCTAAAATTAATTACTTTTTTCCCTCAATCTACACACAATACCCCATAATGATAAAGCAAAAACAGTTTTAGAAATATAAAATGTACATAAGTATTCAGACCCTTTACTCAGTACTTTGTTGAAGCACCTTTGGCAGCGATTACAGCCTCAAGTCTTCTTGGGTATGACGGTACAAGCTTGGCACACCTGTATTTGGGGAGTTTCTCCCATTCTTCTCTGCAGATCCTCCCAAGCTCTGTCAGGTTGTTGTCCCAAAGCCACTCCTGCGTTGTCTTGGCTGTGTGCTTAAGGTTGTTGTCCTGTTGGAAGGTGAACCTTCGTCCCAGTCTGAGGTCCTGAGCGCTCTGGAGCAGGTTTTCATCAAGGATCTCTCTGTACTTTGCTCCGTTCATCTTTCCCTCAATCCAGACTAGTCTCCCAGTCCCTGCCGCTGAAAAACATCCCCACAGCATGTTGCTGCCACCACCATGCTTCACCGTAGTGATGGGGCCAGGTTTCCTCCAGATGTGACGCTTGGCATTCAGACCAAAGAGTTCAATCTTGGTTTCGTCAGACCAGAGAATCTTGTTTCTCATGGTCTGGGAGTCCTTTAGGTGCCGTTTGGCAAACTCCAAGTGGGAAGACATGTGCCTTTTACTGTGGAGTGGCTTCCGTCTGGCCACTATACCATAAAGGCCTGATTGGTAGAGTGCTGCAGAGTTGGTTGTCCTTCTGGAAGGTTCTCCCATCTCCACAGAGGATCTCCGGAGTTCTGTCAGAATGACCATCGGGTTCTTGGTCACCTCCCTGACCAAGGCCCTTCTCCCCCGATTGCTCAGTTTGCCCAGGCGGCCAGCTCTATGAAGAGTCTTGGTGGTTCCAAACTTCTTCCGTTTAAGAATGATTGAGGCCACTGTGTTCTTGGGGACCTTCAATGCTGCAGACATTTTTTGGTACCCTTCCCCAGATCTGTGCCTCGACACAATCCTGTCTCGGAGCTCTACGGACAATTCCTTCGACCTCATGGCTTGGTTTTTTTCTCTGACATGCACTGTCAACTGTGGGACCTTATATAGACAGGTGTGTGCCTTTCCAAATAATCTCCAATCAATTGAATGTACCACAGGTGGACTCCAATCAAGTTGTAGAAACATCTCAAGGATGATCAATGGCAACAGGATGCACCTGAGCTCAATTTCAAGTCTCATAGCAAAGGGTCTGAATACTAATGTAAATATATATTTTAATTTTTTAGCAAACATTTCTAAAACCCTGTTTTTGCTTTGTCATTATGGGGTATTGTGTGTAGATTGCTGAGATTATATAAAACATTTTTTTTTTTAGAATAAGGCTGTAACGTAACAAAAAGTGGAAAAAGTCAAGGGGTCTGAATACTTTCCGAATGCACTGTATGTGTGTGGTCTGTACTATAAGTGTCAGAGTGAGGCATGGCTGGTCTCTCCCTAGAGTGATATTTCTCTCCTAGCACAGCTCATCTTCCCCTGTAGGAAGATCAAGGTCACAGACAGACACTTCTGTTCAGCAGCTAAGCCCCAGCCACACGTCTAATGTAGCACATCTGCCACAGCTACAGTAGTTCAGCTATTCTATAGTTGCAATGCACTGTGCTAGAGCTCCCATCAGCTCTCACACACACACGTCCCTTAGCATACAGCCGTGGCAAAAGTTTTGAGAATGACACAAATATTAATTTTCACAAAGTCTGCTGCCTCAGTTTTCATGATGGCAATTTGCATATACTCCAGAATGTTATGAAGAGTGATCAGATGAATTGCAATTAATTGCAAAGTCCCTCTTTGCCATGAAAATTAACTTAATCCCAAAAAAACGTTTCAACTGCATTTCAGCCCTGCCACAAAAGGACCATCTGACATCATGTCAGTGATTCTCTCGTTAACACAGGTGAGAGTGTTGACGAGGACAAGGCTGGAGATCACTCTGTCATGCTGATTGAGTTAAAATAACAGACTGGAAGCTTTAAAAGGAGGGTGGTGCTTGAAATCATTGTTCTTCCTCTGTTAACCATGGTTACCTGCAAGGAAACACGTGCCGTCATCATTGCTTTGCACAAAAAGGGCTTCACAGGCAAGGATATTGCTGCTAGTAAGATTGCACCTAAATCAACCATTTATCGGATCATCAAGAACTTCAAGGAGAGAGGTTCAATTGTTGTGAAGAAGGCTTCAGGGCGCCCAAGAAAGTCCAGCAAGCGCCAGGACCGTCTCCTAAAGTTGCTTCAGCTGCGGGATCGGGGCACCACCAGTGCAGAGCTTGCTTATGAATGGCAGCAGGCAGGTGTGAGTGCATCTGCACGCACAGTGAGGTGAAGACTTTTGGAAGATGGCCTGGTGTCAAGAAGGGCAGCGAGGAAGACACTTCTCTCCAGGAAAAACATCAGGGACAGACTGATATTCTGCAAAAAGGTACAGCGATTGGACTGCTGAGGACTGGAGTAAAGTCATTTTCTCTGATGAATCCCCTTTCCGATTGTTTGGGGCATCCGGAAAACACCTTGTCCGGAGAAGACAAGGTGAGCGCTACCATCAGTCCTGTGTCATGCCAACAGTAAAGCATCCTGAGACCATTCATGTGTGGGGTTGCTTCTCAGCCAAGGGAGTGGGCTCACTCACAATTTTGCCTAAGAACACAGCCATGAATAAAGAATGGTACCAACCAACCATCCAAGAACAGTTTGGTGACGAACAATGCCTGATGATGGAGCACCTTGCCATAAGGCAAAAGTGATAACTAAGTGGCTTGGGGAACAAAACATCGACATTTTGGGTCCATGGCCAGGAAACTCCCCAGACCTTAATCCCATTGAGAACTTGTGGTCAACCTCAAGAGGCGGGTGGACAAACAAAAACCCACAAATTCTAACAAACTCTTATGCAAGAATGGGCTGCCATCAGTCAGGATGTGGCCCAGAAGTTAATTGACAGCATGCCAGGGCGGATTGCAGAGGTCTTGAAAAAGAAGGGTCAACACTGCAAATATTGACTCTTTGCATAAACTTAATGTAATTGTCAATAAAAGCCTTTGACACTTATGGAATGCTTGTAATTATACTTCAGTATACCATAGTAACATCTGACAAAAATATCTAAAAACACTGAAGCAGCCAACTTTGTGAAGACCAATACTTGTGTCATTCTCAAAACGTTTGACCACGACTGTACATGTAATAGCCTTGCTGGTCATGTTATGTTATACCACGCCGCGAACATAGCAGTTCAGTGAGGCTCTCTCAACAGTAAAAGCAAAGATGGTTTAGTATGACGACATGCAGAAACTGCTTCTCCAATAGAAATCCCAGATCACGCTTGTAGCCGATGTCATGGCGACGTTGGCTAGCTAAACTTATGCGTCATCAGGTCTAACGGTCGTCTCGCGGCGAACTGCGCATGCCGTCAAATCAAATGCACTCCTTCGCTAAAAAATCGTTTTTTACGAAAATGAAAACGTGTCAGTTTGTCACTTTCACGAGGTTGGAGTAATAACATGTTCAGCCATGTAAGACATTGGCTCAAATCTAGGTTGTGCCTTTAGATTTCGTGAACAAATGTACAACTAAGGAATACTTTTTTACTTCTCTCGTTGACTTCTCAAACTCCAAACCCCAGTCTGGTCTGCTCTGTCTGCTTCGCATTCGTTCCTGTTCTCTGTTGGGCCCCCGAGTGGCGCAGTGGTCTAAGGCACTGCATCGCAATGTGCCACTAGATATCCTGGTTCGAATCCAGGCTCTGTCGTAGCCGGCCGCGACCGGGAAACCCATGAGGCGGCGCAAAATTGGCCCAGGGTAGGGGAGGGAATGGCCGGCAGGGATGTTGCGCAGTAGTGGGTTCGATTCCCACGGGGGGCCAGTATGAAAAAATATATTTAAAAAAAAAAGTAAAATATAAGACAAAAACAGATAAAAAATCTATGCACTGGATAAGAGCGTCTGCTAAATTACTAAAATGTAAAACGTAGAAACTGTGGTAAAAGCATCCGCGTGCGAATGAGTAGCTGACTACTGCTCTCTGCTGGCAAGCCAACAACATTACACAGACGAGTGAGTAATCACTTCTGCTTGACTGATTCTAATTATCACCACAGGCACAAAAAAATTCACTCTCAACCCTCTGAAATCTGTGCTGACTGTAATGGCAATGAATCTACAGTTATAGTGTCAGCAAAAATGACCCATAGGGCCATCCTAAATGACCACCTCATGACGATATCACAGGTGAAAGCTAAGCAAACAAAGCAACATCTTATACAATTAAATGTTCTCTTACATTCTCCAGTGATAAACATAACTCCCCGCACATAACTGCTCTCTTCTGCCACCTCCTGGAAGCTGAAAGCTGCCACAGTTCACTCTCTGTAGAGTAGTACTGACCGGCTGTGGATGCTCCTACAGTAACGCTGTCTGCCCAGAAAACCATTCTCTATTTCTCTGGTTGATATCATCAGCTTAATCCAACTAGTACTGAGGATTGCAGGTTTATGCTGAGCTGAGCGGATCAGATAGGAATGATTGCTACTTAGTGGATTAACACACACACTGGATGAAAAATTCATAAACAACATTTAAATATACTCATATATTGGATTCTATGTTGCTGATTGCTGTATCACTTATCCAATTTTATTTTCAAATTAAAGGGATACTTCAGGATTTTGGCAATGAGGCCCTTTATCTACTTCCCCAGGGTCAGATGAACTAGTGGATACCATTTTTATGTCGCTGTGTCCATTATGAAGGAAGTTAGCTTTAATTTTGAGAGCCAATGCTAACAAGCGTTAGCGCACTGACTAGCATGCCAAAATCCCGAAGTATCCCTTTGAGTACATAATGAATGAGAATTTAAATTCCATCTGTACTTTTTCCAAATATGGGAAATTGGAATGGGGGTGGGGCGGGGACAAGATTATCTAAAATAATTAGGACAAACTGCTGACGCTATGGCTCGGTTCCATTAAGGGAATTAGGTATTTTGTGGAACAACTCACCATGATGTCCACTGAGCTACACATGAACTTGAGCCAAGGACACAATTACCAAACTACCATCAACAAATTACTTCTGTTTTCCATAGAATGTATGTGTGTTCAGTTCTGGGCCGGGTCTCACCTGCACAGTGCCAAAGTCAACGGTCTCATAGTGGAAGTGGGCACACTCAGCCAGCCTGGGAAAATGCCCTCTGGGGAACGTCAGCCTGAAATACAACAGAATCACCTCATCAGTATTCAACTGGCTGTTACACTGAGGCAGAAAGGGCAGAGAGAGAGAGAGAGACAGAGACAGAGAGACATAGAGAGGAGAGAGAGAGAGAAGAGAGCAGGAAGAGAGAGAAGGGGGTGATAGTAGTGTGAGAGCGGATAAGAGAGTGAGATAGCAGAGAGCAAGTTGACCAGTCGGTCTCTGCCCGGCCCATCATTTTCCTGCCCTGGTTTAGAGGCCCGTTTTACAGCCCATAATAGCCCATTTCCGTGGGGTGGGGAGCACCTACTTCTTCACATTTTTGACCTTCATGCTGGCTGTGCTGACGCAGGAACGCAGGGTGGGCTCATGCTCGGCAGGAAGCTCTGTGACCTCATCACTCCGTACCTGCCAATCAACACACACAATACTCAACATTCCTGACGTGTAAACCAATTACAAGACGGTCAACACTTGTAATTTGCTGGTCCAATAATACTAAAAAGAAACCCATACTAGCAGTATCTATGAGACTACATAGTAGTAGAGTTCAGAGACTGCTATTCCCAGGTTACAGTGCTCGTGATAGTGAGCACTGTAACCTGGTGATAATAGACTGTGTACCATCTAGTGATGGTGATAATAGACTGTGTACCATGGCAGTTGTGCTCTCTTGTGGGGATTTATCTGTTGGAGTAGTGCTCTTGTGTGGATCAGGCTGGGTCTCGTCTTCATCTGGTGTAATACACGGTGACATGGCCCTACACAGGGAGAGGGAGGGAAGGACAGAGAGAGAAAGATGGAGAAGAATCAGAATCCATAAATACATTACATTTTACATTCTTTTTCTTTGGGTTCCACCAGAGGGAGCCAGTGAGAGAGACCAATGTATTCACATCATGTTTCTGGGGCTCAAATCAAATCATGACACTGCACCAGCGGTCCAGAAAACATAGTGCAGCCTGTGGTATTTAGATCCTTGTTATTCTGGTGGTAGCACATAACGGCACACAGTCTCAAATGGCTACTGACAGGTACAGAAAGCTCCAGAGAGGAGTAAAGCCTAGCATACATACACTAAACACATCTTGGGGAAAGAACATACTTAGCCTGACAAAAGAAGCATCTCACACTTGGTAGGACCAAAACAAAGCTATAATGACTTTTGTGTATGTTCAGGTAAGCAAAGCCTTTCCTTTGAGTAAGTCACGAATGCAATCCGCCTACCAGGGATCGCCTCACAAAACCTGCAGCTGAAATCGGAGTCAGTGTGCTAGGCAGAGGAAGAAAAGTCCTTTCAGCCCAACTTTTCTCAGGGACAATGAAGAAGAGTGGATGCCTGACATTTCTCGTTCCTTCCTGGGCTCAGACACAGACTGAGTGATGCAGTGATTCAGTCTCATAGGCTAGCTCTCCTCAGATCTGCTGATAAGGACAAGAACACTGGCAATGAAAGAATGAGCACATCTCATCTGTTGGAGATCTGTGATTAAATGAGAGCCATCCTATCCTATCTAGGCCTGGTTGTATTGCAGCTCACTTACAGTAGATAGAGAAGAGATCATGTGTCGGTCATCACAACCCTTTACAATGGGATGATATACTATAGCCATCTCTAATGCCTTTAGAATTCCTCTCTCGCTATCACTTCCTTCCTCCCTGTCAATCTCTCACGTACACATGCCCATACAATCACCCACACACATCCTAAACTGATCCTCTATACATTTATGGGTGTGATATCTGCAGAGTCCTGGTTAGCTGACATAGCAGCGGTACGGTGCGGCGTGTGTTTGAGAGAGTAACTCACCCCTCAAGGACGTCACCACTTCCTGGTTTTCCCTGGGGTCCTGATGCAGCATTCCCGATCACCGCGGCAACCCCACAGCCAGCCTCCATCATACTGCCTTACTGCAACAGTCGACTGACGAGAGAGAGAGAGAGCGAGAGAGAGAGACAACCTTAGCTGGGAACCTGCCAGACATTAACCCACTCTTAGCTGCAGCTTGCTCTCTAGAATAATTTCACGCCTTTTAACAGATTAATGGTTAATGAGTCTATAGTAAGACAGGCATTCAGTAAACAAGTAAATACCCACTTCTTACACACCAAATTGTTTCATTCAAACAGGTTATATTGAAAAATGCTTTTTTTTAATGATATGGAATCCATCCATACTGCAGGCGGAGTAAAGCATTGAGACTTGTACGTGTGACCGTGTTTGGAATGGTCCTGAAAAGCAGAAACGAACCCTTCATGATGAGTGTTGTTGTGAAGAGACCCCAGAAGGGATCCCAACAAGTACATACCAACCTCTTAAACATTAGTTAGAGAACATCTATTTTCAAAACAATCAATACAGGTCTAGGAGGAGCACTACATGTCAACTTTGGGACTCTCCTTCCGCTAACATGTATCTAGGACTTTGTTTGGCACTATCCTGAGGGAGAAACCAACCCCACCAGCATGGGAGTGTTGTGACAGCCCCCACGAGGAGTGTTGTGACAGCCCCCATGATCCATCATCCCAATACAGCTCTTTATATACTGTCAACAAATAAAAGGAATGCTCTGACAGCGAAATACAACACCTCCACACAGCCTTCCAATCTTTCCATAACTAGCCCTCATGAAAGGAAGCACTGGGAGCTGAACTCACGTCTGGTAGGATTTAGGCATGCACAGAGCAGTCGTAACCAACCAACCCTGGTCCTGGAGTACTACAGTATGTGCACTGTGCACTCAAAGTACCTCGGTTCTACACCTCAGCACTAAAACAGGAGTTGTCCCTCTTCTCCAATCAGAAGCTGTAATGATGACCATAGAGATGTGTGGAGTAAGGAGTAGTAGATAGATAGATACATCAGGCCAGCCATTACAGTACAGGGTAGCAGTTTCCCCAAGAGAGCAGGCAGAGGGAGGCAGCCCATTGGCCCATAGACACAGAGTGGTGCTCACTGCTGAGAGAGTTCCACACAGCCCTCTGACTCAGCACAATGTGACCAGCCAGAGACACAGGCCAAACCAGACCCACTCCACACGCACAGACCTACTATATTCTACTGTACTCTCACCTCATCTCTCCAATGGCGGCTGTAGCCTTGCTAGAGGATATCCTATCAAACATGAATACAAAGACAAATATGTATCTATTGAGAGAGGATAGCATGATGACACACAAAAAACAAGCAACGATTTATCTAAAGTCCCAAAGCTGTCCTGAGTCTCTCCAGGGATAGGCTACATGACTTTGAAGATGAACAAAGTAATACACCAGTTTGACAGAATGAAAATGTATGCACTCACTACCTGTAAGTCGCTCTGGATAAGAGCGTCTGCTAAATGACTCAACTGTAAATGTAAAAATGTACGTACAGAATGTTTTTGACATTCAGTATAGTCTGGCAATCTGTCACCCATCACAATGTGTGGTAAAACGTTATGCACCTCCAGTAATCTTTTCAAAAGCTCTGTAGGCGACGATATTGCATTTATTCCATGATCAAATGTAACATGCCTGACCTTGATGATTGTTCAGAATGGAGAATGTTTCGTCTCAGATAAGGACATCCTGTGCTTCACATTGCTGTGTAGCAGACACACTCAGCACTGCCTTATGGCAACATGACAAGGTACATCCATTCATTTATCCATTTAGGATACTGATAATATGGCAATGCTATTCAATTTAATGAGGACACAGATTTTTCCTGACAAGTCTTCACGTTAGCCAATGCTATACATTTGGTATGGGTTATGTCCCAAATGGCACCCTATGGGCCCTGGTCAAAAAGTAATGCTCTATATAGGGAATAGGGTGTAATTTGGGACATTATCTTTCCCCTGCTTAACTGTCAGTCATGCCAGACTAGTCATAGTAAAACCATCAACCTGTAATGTACAGTAGCGGTAGCTACAAGACATATTTTTCACCACTTGAAGGAAGCTCTCTATTTCTGCTGCCAGGAGACAAAAACAGCTCTGATCTGGCTTTGACGGCTCTGGCCTACATGGTATTCCAGGAAAACTAGGGCAGCCTACCCAATTCTGCATGCCATTTATGAAACCTGTATTCGAATTTATGAGCTGGAGTGAGGAATTGATGCCTACACATTATCTCTAAGAGAAGAATTTCATGCCATGAGCCTCTGAAGCTTCACACTAGACACACTCACAACATGTTAACCTAATGCATTTGCTACAGTGCTGTATGCAATTAGGCCAAAAGCTTTAAAACACTATACAGTGAGGGAAAAAAGTATTTGATCCCCTGCTGATTTTGTACGTTTGCCCACTGACAAAGACATGATCAGTCTATAATTTTAAATGGTAGGTTTATTTGAACAGTGAGAGACAGAATAACAACAATAAAATCCAGAAAACGCATGTCAAAAATGTTATAAATTGATTTGCATTTTAATGAGGGAAATAAGTATTTGACCCCTCTGCAAAACATGACTTAGTACTTGGTGGCAAAACCCTTGTTGGCAATCACAGAGGTCAGACGTTTCTTGTAGTTGGCCACCAGGTTTGCACACATCTCAGGAGGGATTTTGTCCCACTTCTCTTTGCAGATCTTCTCCAAGTCATTAAAGTTTTGAGGCTGACGTTTGGCAACTCGAACCTTCAGCTCCCTCCACAGATTTTCTATGGGATTAAGGTCTGGAGACTGGCTAGGCCACTCCAGGACCTTAATGTGCTTCTTCTTGAGCCACTCCTTTATTGCCTTGGCCGTGTGTTTTGGGTCATTGTCATGCTGGAATACCCATCCACGACCCATTTTCAATGCCCTGGCTAAGGGTAGGAGGTTCTCACCCAATATTTGACGGTACATGGCGCCGTCCATCGTCCCTTTCATGCGGTGAAGTTGTCCTGTCCCCTTAGCAGAAAAACACCCCCAAAGCATAATGTTTCCACCTCCATGTTTGACGGTGGGGATGGTGTTCTTGGGGTCATAGGCAGCATTCCTCCTCCTCCAAACACGGCGAGTTGAGTTGATGCCAAAGAGATCCATTTTGGTCTCATCTGACCACAACACTTTCACCCAGTTCTCCTCTGAATCATTCAGATGTTCATTAGCAAACTTCAGACGGCCCTGTATATGTGCTTTCTTGAGCAGGGCGACCTTGTGGGTGCTGCAGAATTTCAGTCCTTCACGGCGTAGTGTGTTACCAATTGTTTTCTTGGTGACTATGGTCCCAGCTGCCTTGAGATCATTGACAAGATCCTCCCGTGTAGTTCTGGGCTGATTCCTCACCGTTCTCATGATCATTGCAACTCCACGAGGTGAGATCTTGCATGGAGCCCCAGGCCGAGGGAGATTGACAGTTATTTTGTGTTTCTTCCATTTGCAAATAATTGCACCAACTGTTGCACCTTCTCACCAAGCTGCTTGGCGATGGTCTTGTAGCCCATTCCAGCCTTGTGTAGGTCTACAATCTTGTCCCTGACATTCTTGGAGAGCTCTTTGGTCTTGGGCATGGTGGAGAGTTTGGAATCTGATTGATTGCTTCTGTGGACAGGTGTCTTTTATACAGGTAACAAACTGAGATTAGGAGCACTCCCTTTAAGAGTGTGCTCCTAATCTTTCTGATTGAGAGGGGGTCAAATACTTATTTCCCTCATTAAAATGCAAATCAATTTATAACATTTTTGACATGCGTTTTTCTGGATTTTTTAGTTCTTATTCTGTCTCTCACTGTTCAAATAAACCTACCATTAAAATTATAGACTGATCATTTCTTTGTCAGTGGGCAAACGTACAAAATCAGCAGGGGATCAAATACTTTTTTCCCTCACTGTATATACACACACACACACACAAAAGGTATGTGGACACCCCTTCAAATTGACTATTTCAGCCACACCCGTTGCTGACAGATGTATAAAACCGAGCACACAGCCATGCAATCTCCATAGACAAACACTGGCAGTAGAATGGCCTTACTGAAGAGCTCAGTGACTTTCAACGCGGCACCGTCATAGGATGCCACCTTTCCAACAAGTCAGTTAGTCAAATTTCTGCCCTGAAGTGGAAACGTCGAGGAGCAACAACGACTCAGACGGGAAGTGGTAGCTCACAGAACGCGATCGCAGAGTGCTGAAGCACGTAAAAATCGTCTGTCCTCGGTTGCAACACTCACAACCAAGTTGCAAACTGCCTCTGGAAGCAAAGTCAGCACAAGAACTGTTCGTCTGGAGCTTAATGAAATGGGTTTCCATGGCCGAGCAGCCGCACACAAGCCTAAGTTCACCATGCGGAATGCCAAGCCGCGGCTTGAGTTATGTAAAGCTTGCTGCCATTGGACTCTGGAGCAGTGGAAACGCATTCTCTGGTGTGATGAATCACACTTCACCATCTGGCAGTCCGAAGGACGAATCTGGGTTTGGTGGATGCCAGGAGAACGCTACCTGCCCGAATGCATAGTGCCAACTGTAAAGTTTTGTGGAGGAGGAATAATGGTCTGGGGCTGTTTTTCATGGTTCGGGCTAGGCTCTTTAGTTCCGGTGAAGGGAAATCTTAACTCTACAGCATACAATGACATTCTAGACGATTCTGTGATTCCAGCTTTGTGGCAACAGTTTGGGGAAGGCCCTTTCCTGTTTCAGCATGACAATGCCCCAGTGCACAAAGCGAGGTCCATACAGAAATGGTTTGTCGATATTGGTGTGGAAGAACTTGACTGGCCTGCAAAGTGCCCTGACCTCAACCCCACCGAACACCTTTTGGATGAATTGGAACGCCGACTGCGAGCCAGGCCTAATCGCCCAACATAGTGCCCGACCTCACTAATGCTCGTGGCTGAATGGAAGAAAGTCCCCGCAGCAATGTTCCAAGATCTAGTGGAAAGCCTTACCAGAAGAGTAGAGGCTGTTATAGCAGCAAAGGGGGGACCAACTCCA